AAGATTTTGACAATTTCAATCCTCAACTTGGCATTTATATAGGTCCTTAAAGAGCGCTAAAAGAAGCAGAAGAAGATTACGTTTTACATCGTCAGTTGTTAAGTCCGTCGCTTAAAATTCATAGCTCAATCAATTAATAGCACAAAGTGGAAGTAGAGCCATATACTCTTGCCACGATGAATTAAAGCTTGTTTTACAACACGCTTACGGAATAACTCAGACTTTTTTTGAAACGGAGAAAAAATTTTTGAACAAGAAATAGAAATCGCTCTCTTTGAGGCGGTAGTTGAGATGACTGCGAGCAGCGCGATTTGAGAGGATGCGATTAGCGTTATTCGCTTGAAAGTTTTACTTCTGTTTCGGATCAAATTCTAATTTCTCAATTATTCACGTAAAATACGATTTGCCCTACAAGCTCATGTACTTCCAATGCTGTTATCTGCCAGTGATGAACGTAGTCTTCTTTTCGCTCTTACATCACCTTGCAAAGATCTTCTGAAAAGCCAAGCTTAGCTTCTGGTATGAACGTCTGTCAAGCTCTCAAAGGAGCATTAAAAGTCTGATGAAAAGCAAAGCACAGGTGCAAGTTGTGCAAATGATGCACGACAAAGGTGAAACGTAATTTTCTCTTGATTGCCACAGCGCAGTACCGCATTGAAACCAAATACTATACCGAAATCGCCGAGATCTAAGCTATGGACGACTACAAAATCGGATCAATCTGAAATGAATCCCATCTTCAGAGGATTGATCTAAGAAATATTTTTATACTGAATTTTTTGCTAACTTTTGAAGAACTTTTTAGGGTTGGAGTTTAACGGCTGTTAGTTCTGGTTTAGTCGTTGTACTTTCATTTAAATGACGTTTGAAGTATTGTAATATGAGATTACAATAAGACTTATTAGTAACATATAAGCTGTCGAAGAATCTCTCTATCAACAGCATTTGGAGTAGTCAAGCTGGTGAAATGGATCTATGGCAACGTACTTCCGCACTTCACCTAATCGTTATCGTTATATGGCTATGGTGGTAACAAACGACCTACGTAGATCATTCTCTCCTCTGCTGTTCCTTTAGCACCTGCTTTATTCAATAAATCGGAGAATCTCAACCCTTCACAAAGCAACTGAGAAAAGTTTCCTTCAGATCGGGATCGATGATAATGTACACTTGTCCCACCTGTAGAGCCGTGAATGGTTCATAGTGAGAAATTGGTACGTCAGTCCGTTGAAGTATCATACGACAAAGAGCCTAATTGATCACAACTTGTTTAGAAACTGTAAATCGCAGAAGAAAATTCATTTTCAGAAATCAATTACGATTCATACTGAGAAACTAATTTTTTACGACGGACACTGAACAACCGGAAGCGATTTTCTGAGTTCTCGATGTGACTGGAAAACGAATTTCATAGAATTAATTTGAATTTTCTTTTGGAAAATCTCCATCTTACTTTTCTTGTTCACAGTGAAGCACTTGATCTGCAGGTCGGGTCTGCTGTTACAATAGTATTTTGTGATACAACTGTTTTAGTAGGGGTATGTACCTTAGCTGCTTAGTACTTCTCGCAGTTGATTCGTTCCACTGCGTTAATTTTCTACCAAGATCCTCGGATATTTCGAGTCTTTTTTTGGCTGCTGATTAAGGAATTCATGATCTTTGTAATGCCGTAGAGTTCTAGTCGAGACAGTTATCCTTGTAATCTTGGATGTAGCGGAGCTGTGACGCTCGTTGATTGATTGCATGAGAGTGTTGGGGAAGGTAATCGAAACAGCGCCTTGTTTGTCACCTTGCCTCTAGATACACTGCATCATCAACCGCTACGCTAATCCACCCCAAAGCAAACAAAATTATAATAGCGAAGATCATATAGACAAATGTATCCAAGTATCCAAGTTCAAAGAAAAGATATTCACTCATCACGTTCATCGATGCTTTGGTGTTGAGTTGTGGTGGTCGGCGCTGGCGTTACTGCTTCAAGTGAAGATCGTGGTTTTACTATCTAGCTGCTCGACTTCTGAGATGAAAAACAAGCAGCTTTGTTTGATCTTCACCGGAAAACTTATAAGCTCATTCAGTTGAGGTAGACCGTTCACTTCGACCGTTCATAGCTTTGCTATCTTCAGTTTTGACTAAACTACTCATCAATCATTTACGTCACATTACTGGAATTTCCACTAGTCTAACAAAATTAATCCTTTTGTATATTATACCGTTGCAGAAAACTAAACAGAGAGCGCTGGTTGCTTGAGTAGCCACCATCTATTATATTGTTTTTCAGGTGTGGACAGTTCACTAAAAGTGTCATGCAGCAATGTTCATAATTTGTTCTGCGGCCGTTCGAATGGCATCATAAACCGTTGAAGAAAGTGCTTCAAAATTTTTTAAATCACAGATCTGCTTTTTGCTTGACCACAACTCAGATCACTCTTCAAATAAACAATATTTTAGAATACCAATATTTTTTGGGGATTGCAAACTTCGAAGGTGAAACGGGAATCGAACCCGCATTTCACCCTTTCCCGGACTCTTGCTTACTAATTCCACTACCGACGCTTTTGTCCTGCCATCACTCATTGTTGTTTTCAGTATAGTGAATGCGACTTGCTGCACCGTTTCGAATCGGTCTATCGACTTATCAAATCAAGTACCATTCTATGAACAAACATAATTCCAACGTCCTGGCCATCACTAATCAATAAGATTTCCCTCTATCTAAGGAAACAAAGTTAGATAAAACCGCACGATTTTTTTTTGTTCTACACGACTCGTCATCACATTTTAATGTGAGGATTGCCGCATTCGACTGCTGCTTGAGGATTGCTACTTCATCATTACTATAGAAAGCTGGTCGAATATATCTCTTTGCAATCTTGGTGGAACCCGAGATAAGCTATTATTCCGTAAGGCGCTCGTTGATTGATTAGAAGTGAGTGATGAGGGACGGAGGAGGGAATTGAACCGGCACTCTGCTTCTTGATAACTTGTGTCACCATCACGGACCCCTCGGCCACAGCGTCCCCATATTGCGTAATATTGAGGTGATATTGAAAAATGGACTCAACCAATGGAATACCTGTTTTGTTCAAAATTTTGTAACAATTTCGAATAACTTCACTGAAGATAACATTATACAAAGTTCTATTCGCTGTTGAGAAGGAGTTATTTGCATTTCAGATAAATCCACATATACTAAAGTCAAAAAATCTTGTCTTCCGTATTAAACCTGTTTTCAAAAAGTTACGAACACTTTCGCGGCCACGTTTTCGTGAAGTGCCAGTGGGACAACGCCTAATTCGAATATTGCCAACTTGCTAGTTTCTTGACAGTAAACCATTCGGAGGGTTATAAACAGGACAGGATAGCAAAAAAGGCATTGCTGTACCGCTTAGTGTGTATCACTGCTATAAGAAAACACTTCTGTATTACAAAAACAAAACATCTCATAGAAGAAATGGTCTCTAGAGAGGTCGAGTGGGCTACTGACTCATTCCAAATGACCTCCGTAGAGACCATATGTAGAAAAAATATTGAGTACTACTTAGGGGTTGACAAATTATTTTTGCAATAACTCCTAGGATCATTAAGGTGCTACGATCTTATAATAAGCGTTTCTATTTAATTGGCCACTCTGTAGTTCTCTTTATCCTGCATTCCCAGGGATTTTTCTCAAAGCCGAGCTCATTCCAACCTAAATTAATCTAAACGTGTCTCCACAGAGCTTCTATTTTCTCCAGCATATCAAATGTAAGCCCTTGAATCTCCGTAAAATTCACCATATCATGTGACTCTAGTGTGAATTGTAAAGATCATTAGACAGACTCCTTTAATACTCGCCTGTTCTACCCAATGTAATAAAATGTTGTGTTTTGCGTCGACTATATTGGATGAAGGAGGCATACATGTCCATAATGAGAAGTGTTTTTTCTTTCTAATTGCCGCAAAACAGCGAAAAACTCAATCATTCAATCAAATCAGTCACAACGATTTTTGACGCATTCATTTGCGAAGAAGGTCAATTGACTACACAACCATCAAAAACTAGAAGTCATTGTTCGACACAAGTACTTTGAATGTCATCAGTCATTTTCAGGTACATGTCAATTGCATCTCAATCTTCAAATTTGTTTTTGAAATTCATGCCATGTTCTCACGCCGTCGTGGGAGAACTGATCCATTCTGCCTCCTTCAAAGAGGATTCCGATTCACTTGTTGATCTTGTCAACGACTCGTCCATCTTTCTAAGCAATGGAGTCTTTTAAACATTCGGATTATGCGGCATTTGCTTCTAAATAAGATTATAGATAGAGAAAGACAAAAATCGAAACGCGGGATCGAATCTTTGGGCTGATAAAAAGGCGTAACAAAAAATTTCAGTTTGAATTTGAAAAAAAGCTATTCCACTTTCGTTCAATAAAAGGCAGCTACTGGCAGTTTTCTTCCCTACACACAGTTCATCTCGCTTTCTTTGTATATCGGATCTCTGCAACTTTTCATTGCCTATATCATGTCTTTTTATATTTTGAGAATGCTGGCACATCTGTCATTCAGTGAGTTTTCTTACATTCGTCTCACGAAGCTCTCAAGCTTGTGGAATCAACTGCCACTAGAGATATTGCCATATTCACAAGCGTTCCTAAGTGCTGATTAAATGAATTCCTTCCAGGAATACTGTAGTAGCTCAACTTAAGCGTTCCCAAGAGTCTTCTACAGAAGATGCTTCTGCTACACACGCTTGGTGGCAAGTTGTTAACCTAATGAATTGGAAAGTTATGTTGATCCCTCGCGAGATCGAATGAGACCACTCCAGTATTATTCCACATCGTCTCTAATCTCTGCATTTTTGAGCCTATTAGCATCCGGCGGAATTTTGACAATTCTTGCAAGTTTATGTTGTTCGATCACTCAGGATCGTCAGTTTGACATTCGCTCAAACTTTGCGAATTGGCGTTTTTAGATTATCATGTTTTTGCTGTGCAAAAGAGTGCTGTGAAAAACGAGCATCGGTTGTGCAATGGTTAGCATACGCTCCATGAAAGAGTGAGATCTGGGTTTGAATCCCAGCTGACGCAAATGCTTCTGCAGAGCACTCCACAATATTGGGTATATTACAAGATCATACCACCGCAAGAAGCGGTCAAATAAATTACTTCCGATTGATTATTGATACTCAATATCTGTCAGCACAAGTAGGTTCAATGCCGATAGCAGCTGCCCCGCCAAACCGTATACGGTTGGCTGTTGACAGATAACGCATTGTAGCGTAAAAAGAGCTGTGCAAAAACGAGCGTCGGTGGTGCAACGGACAGCATGCGTTCCGGTGAAAGAGTGAGGTTTGGGTTCGAATCCCGGCTGACGCAAATGTTTTTTGCACAGCGCTCCTCATTGTCGGGTATGTCACGTTTTTGCTTACCATAGTTATTGATGACTAGTACTGTCCGCATTATGAAAGTCAGCTTCAACGCCGAGACAGCCAATTAGGACATACTATGACGTTCAAGCTTTTCCCTCTACGCCATCACTTTCATATGTCCCTGTGTAAAGTAGTGATTGGGGCTTAGCTGTTGTTAAGCACCCTCGTGTTCACGGTCATCTCTATCCGCTCCATTCTAGGAAATTGACAATATGCATGATGAAAATGTCACAGAAGTGCGAGAGGTAAAGGTAAGTTCTATACGGATGCTCACAAATATCTAAGCTTCGATTATCATACAAAAAACTTATTTGACAATAATCATTAATTTAGTGAAGTTCTTCAAATGTAGCATTCATATCACTTCTTACTACAGAAACAGTTACATGTCCGTCACCTACGGTCAACTTATTACTCTATTCAGGTGATAACCAATGGTGCTTGAATGCCGATTCAAGCGCTTCATACCACGAGAGTGAGGTCCCACTAATCCCACTTACATAAACATTATTCACGCGAAACAAGAGGTCATATGAGGACTATTGTGACTGCCGCATGGAGCACCATAATTGTCCTCCTAAACATCAAGGTTCGCCAGGAATGCCAGATGAACGCGGTGAAATTGGAAGCACTGGCGACCCAGGGTGACCAGGAGCGAGCGGATTATCGTTACTGTGTGCGGTTTCGTTACCGTAGCATTTAGCAGAAGCAAGCATGAAAAAATTTTTAGAGAAATGCATAGGATACTAGGAGGATGCATTCTTTGTCCGGCAGGGCCGCCTGGACGACTCGGAGAAGTAGGAGCTTCTGGTGATAAAGGTCGGTGATGTGGGAGTCAGTTGGAGTTGAAGGAAATCTAGGTCATCCAAGATATGACGGGTATCTAGGGCCTCCTGGTGAAGATGTGATTATTAGGGCACCAGATCTTTCAAGAATACAAGGAGCGCCAGGTTGGAGAGGAGCACAAGGTGAGCAAGGAAAAAGGGGGAAACGTGTAGAGAACGGTGCAGTGGGGATTCCCGGTCCACGAAGACGTTCTGGATATCCGGGTAGAGATGGTGACTATGAACTCCTGGTATACCTGAAAGAATGGTTTTGTAGGGGAACACGCCGGTTACCGTCCGTGTCCGGAAAGAAGTGAGATCAGCCACTAAAATCTCACAAATTTAATGTATCAATTTTATGAATGTTCATGAGTCTTTTTAAATGCAAACGTAATAAATAGAGGTTTTCTCACCCTAAAAGAACCCCCGGTACTAGTTTTGCCTCACAATAGCATCCTTTCATTTTGGAAGCTCTGCTATATCCATTGTAGTGAACGCATAAGATTCAACCTGAAACACCGCTTCTCAAATTCAAGTTATGAACATTTGTACCTGCTGTGATGTCGAAACTAATACAGTGTATATGTATATGTATATGTACATATATACTTATATTGAATAATTTCATTGATATATATGTATATGAGTATATATATGTTTATATATATACTTATTTATATATAGATTTAATATATATGCATAACAAGAGCAAAACAAACAAAAGCACAGAGCGTAGTACATAAAACCTCGCCTATAAATTGTATGAGCCAACGGTATGAAAATGACCATATTGTTCATGATTATGAACTCAGAGGGTTAAGTTAGCATATTCGTTAAAAACAAGATATAAGCCAAATGATCGTGAAAAAATTCAAGGTCACTCTTAATTACAAGAAAAAAGCGATCCATCTTCCTCCTGCCAGCGAGATCTGAAAAAAAAGACTGAATAAAGTTATAGAAAAGAGCGCATGTGGCACAGTACTGGTTTTAAAGGTGTTCTGCGTAGCACACCAGGCAGCACTAGCTCGCTACAGCGGGAAGCCATCACGAAGTCATTGTAAAGGCCAGATATGCATTCAATTACCTCAAGTGAAGTCATATATTGAAGATGAGTGCATGACGCATCCCTCAGAGATTGATCAACGCCGAGAGCTTTATCCTTTATCATTAGAGTCATTAGAGTTCTCTTCGATCATTTATTTTGTGCTAATCATGAGAGTCCAACAAAACCTATAGACATTAGTACTAATTTCTTTTCCTGCCTTATTATGACTCACTGAGGGCGTGGTGTCACCATGGTTAGAAGTACGCCACGACACAATTGCTTGATGGGTCGATCGTACATACGGCTCATCAAACTTTCCGTCCCTCTTGGATCGGGCGAATTGATGCCAGACTTGTCTACGGAGATAGTCTAAGTAAGACGTCGCGAGTCATTGTAAAGGCGGATGTGCATTCAGTCATCTCAAACAATGCTGGATGAAGTCGAATGCATGGCTCATTCCCCTTAGAGATTGACTAGAAACAGGAGCTTTATCGGTTATCCTTCTGCTATGATTACTATTGCTATTTTCATTATTACTTCTCTTACTAGCAATCAACTTTGTTGACAATTCTCTTCATTTCATTACTTCTGTAAGAATGGTTCGGGAGAGGTTGAAGGTGTACCACCCACCTTTCCTCTTCTACTGCAAGCTCATATTCTTATATATGCAGAAAAACCTACGCAATAAGCCTCAGCAGTTGTCGATTTTATCCATAGGCAAAACAACTCTGCCTTCCTATCCAAAATTTCCAAACTATGAACGAGTATAAAGCACTCCTAGGAGACCACTTTCTGACGATTGCAGATTACATTGACATCACCAGGTGAGTTCTTTTCTTTCATTCTCAATTGACGTTTTCCTTCAAAATGGCTTTAAGTAAGCAAGAAATCTTTCCTCAAAATGATCAAATAAGATTTTGGGTAATAAACGCTAAATTATTGGATGAGATCTTGCCTTAGTTCTAGACTTATGTTATAATTCCATTCAATGTTCTAGCTATGAAAAACTCCTCCATATTCATCGTTACCACCTTAAGCAACGTCTCTACGATTTTCTTCTAGTCGACGATTATACAACCACTCAAAGTCTGATGAAAGGTCTTTGTTCAGCAAAAAATTCTTCTTTAGATATGACTGACCCATGATACAAAGTGCAGAGTTGAATAATGAAACCGTGAAGTAAAGAAATGTGGCCATGTTCAGACATTACCCATATAACATCGATCTTGGAAGGAATACAATATGCTGTTTCCAATGAGGCAATACTTCAGTGGAGTTGGAAGACGGGAACATCGAAACTACTGAAATCAGTCAGCACGATGACTTCTATATTTTTTTACGGAGTTGATAACAGGCAGGGCCCAGCAAGTAAGTATTTGGATGAATAAGTGAATTGAAAATCCGCTCAAACAGCTCTATAAGATTAAGCCACAGCTAACATTTAAAGCTATCAGTGCAAGTAAAATTCCCGTCGTTTTAACGAGCGTTTAAACGACTTTTCTCGTGCAATTTTCTCAAGTTGAAATGAACAAGCAAATTTGGTTAAAGTTTTTACTTCCTCAGGAGACACCGAAAACGAGAGCAATTACATTACATAGACACATCTGTAATCAACGAGTGCTCCTCTAGACAATAAAATAATGTAAAGGACATACAACACAAGATCTAATCAAACACTAGTGTTTACTAAGATAATGATATATTTACATCATAAAGATACGTGAAAAGACATGAATGAGATGAAAGCAACAAATCGTGAACTGCACAAATACTAGTCAGTCTACTAGCCTGCGAATTTGACTAGATTGTAGAGGATCGAGTAATGTTGTGAAGAGATATCGAGCTGAAATTTAGACCCCATTGCTTGTCGTACATTGACACTACACGCTCAACTCCTCCCTCCACACACTGTAGTCAATATTTGAGATTTCGTCACATCTGAACATGATTTCATAGTAGAGACTCTACGCCACTTTACTCCTCTGTCAAAACATTCTTATGCTAGTATGCTTCCTTGTTCAATTTCAACATGAGTACAGCATTTTGAAGGGAAGTCCTACCTTTCTCATCTGATGTGGTCGAAACGGGATTGTGCTTCGCTTGGACTCATCGGGACGTCAAGTGCTCTTCAGAGAGGCCACCGACCCCTTGGTCCGATTTCTTCACGAAAAGCATAGAAGAAAGATAGGATGATCAACGATTTTTTAAGGCGAGCGGGACCCAGTGGGGCTATTCTTGCAAGCGATAGGGAAAAATGGGAGCTGCTGGTGTCCGTTCGAGCCACTCAACGATCAATGGGACTGCAGTAGAACAATATGCTCTGCTCGAACTACCAGTAATTGCTTGTAGCATACTCAAGCACTATCACAAATGACTATTAGGCACACTTCCACTAGTGCTTTTTATGAGAAAAAAATTGTTTGAAGTATATTTCAGCTGCACTTACTACTCCCTTAATATTCCCATAACACAGCTTACAAATTTGGCCTTTTCGACAATAACGCGAGTTTTTGCTAAAAACACTTTAGCGCGGAGGGCCGTTTGGCATTTTCGCCTTCTTCAAAACCGCACTAAACAAGTAGAAAAGATGTGATTTCAATGTAATTGAAACAAATAACGTGCACATGTACGATACTCATTTACCATTGTAATGCAGTGAAATCGTGATCCCCTTGGCCCATAACAGATTTTCTTCACTTTTTCACAGCAAGGTTTTCATTTCGAACCCCCAAGCATTTGATGACCAACCAATCACATCGTGGGATTAGCACATTGAATTTATCATTGAGT